GCCACAGCCGGCTGCCCCGGATTCTCAACTCGACTCAATGGCTGATCCACACCCACCTGCACAAGAGCAGTGGGGCCATCGTGCACCAGCACAACAATTGGAGGTTCATGTTCATCTGGCGATGCAGCCAATCAGACGCTGAATGCAGAACCGGAATAAAGTGGTTTTCTCCTGCCAAAGAAACTCTCGTACTTGAGGAAGGTACATGTACCGGGGTACTTAGGCACATGTGGTACAAGTAGGTAGGTAGGTGGCCAGCGCCCCTTCCATCCAAGTGCAACTGACAACATATTTCTGTGCCGCTCATCAGCAAGCTTCCATCACGATACATTCATCTCCTCTGCAAGGGCGCCATCCTTTGCAAATTGGCATCCCAGCCCGAGAAACCGTTCAAAGGCCGCCAACTGTTTCCAACGGAGTCTTGTCCGCCGCCGCCGCTGCCGTCCACCTCGCCTGTGTCAGGGACAAGGCAGGTTGCTTTGGGGTAGTAGAGATCAGCGAAACGAAACACTCGCTCAATTCGCGACACCACCCACTGCCCGCTTCTGCCTGTTCGACGCTGTTCTTTTTCGCCTGACCCGACAACCACGGCAGGACACTGGTTGATGGTTGGCTGTCTGCCTGGCCAGCGGATCCGACACGGCCGCGTCTCGCATCATCTTGAGTTTATTCCGTCGTCGGCGCGGTGCTTGGACCATGACTAACCCGAGGATGATCCTCGTCCTACGGAGCAGCCCATGTCGCTTCTCTGAGACCTGAGACTTGACGGCTGGTACGCGATTCATTCCGGAAAGCTGGGCACTGAACCTTCGCGCGAAAATTCGTTTCTTCTACAACCACATTTTTCTTGCTTTCTCCATCTCACGCGTGTTTGAGACAGCTGCCAAGTCGTGGGCACAGAGTGGCGAAGCCCGCCTTGTCTCTTGCAATGTGAGTTGATCCTCCATGCATCCCGCGACGTAATTTTATGAACCAACAGAGACAGGGCCCAGCGGGGGCTTCGATAGCTTACGAAAGCGTCCGCCCCCCGACAGCGCCTCACTTGGCAAGATGGGCCTTGACGCCCTCCTCCTGACATGGTCTAAGCTGTGTAGGCTATCGCCTGCTTGCCGTAGCACGAATTGCTGACCAACAGCCAAGCACTTCCTTCAGATGGCAAGAGATGGTGCTGACCAGCAGTCGGCCGATTGAGCAATTAGGTTCGAGCAAAGTCATGGAGCTCTGACACCCACCCGACGGCAGGTGAACAAAGGTACCACCAATGTCCTGTTGGCGACGTGCATCCGCTTCCCGCTTCCCGCGCTCGACAGCTGCCCCTGTATCTGGAACGACGGTCAGACCACGGATCTGGGGCCAAGATGACACGAAGATTGCGTTCGCTTGCTGACCTGTGCGGTTTTCGAAGAGCAGCGCAACGGCAGAGGCCCAGACGCTTCTGTCTCTGTCCCCTTTCCCGTCATAGCCAGAGTTGGCTTAAACAGTGGATTGCCCGTGTGCCAATCGCCACACCAGACGAATCACCTTGGCCGATCCGACGACGGAGAACCCCTGGGTGTCTATGAGCGTCAGCCTGCCTTTCCCTGCTGGTGTTGGACCCGAAGGTAGAACACCAGGATGATCAAACCGGGACCCCTATCTATATCGGTTCCAGGCCTGGGCATGGCACACTGAAGGCGCTATTCCCCCGTCTCTTTGCTGCATTGGGGCGCTGTACCATTTCGGTTCCGCTCACCCCAGTCAACCCATCTATCGCAATGTCCTTCGCCACGGAAACCGTCGAATGAACGGGAACGAGCCGTGGCCAGGCCTACATCTTGATGATTCTTTTTTTCCCTTCCCCTTTACCAAGACGCCCTGGCTCTGCTCTTTCATACAGCCAATGCAGGCTCGCTGATTTGTCGCTCGACTGTGACGTGAGATGGATGGATTGTGGAGGAAGCACCGCCTCTCCATAAGTTCAAACCGGGGGAGGGTTGTCTTCCAAGATTGTGCCGTGAGGTTACTCCGTCTTGGCGTCCATTCCATGCATCCTCTGCTTTTATCATAGCGTGCCGAGCGCTACTCACCAACGGCGACGTGTTGAAGTGGCAGACATGGTGAAGCTTGTGACGATCGAGCAGCAAAGTATACGCCGTCGCCGTCGTCGATCGGCGTTTGAGTCTGTACATTGGATCATATGCACAACCTGCCCACACGCACCAACGTCAGGTCCGGCTTCACCATGGGGCAGAGCCGGCTCGGGTTCAAGCGCTGGAGCGTGCTCCCACATGCCGCCGCCGCCGGCCGGCCGCTCTTGGGGTGAGACACGTTCACATCTTCCCGCATGTCAGCATTGGTACGGCCGCGCACCAAGCCGCGCTGTTGCTCATCCGTCATTCATGCAGTCATGGTGGACTTGGATCGTCGTCTCCCGTCCTGCTGCCGTCAGGCTTCGCGGCCGCATCGGTAAGGCTCAAAAGCACTTGACTTTCACATGGTCATGGTTCGCCAGCTTCCCCGCACTGCTTGTGAGCCCCAGGCCTCCCTTTCAACCAGCCCGAAGGCGGCGGAGCTTGCATGCTGAAAAGCCCACAGGAACCTCGGGCACTCCGCAGGGGGCGAAGCTTCAGGCAAGCCCCCCTGCCCCCCTCCTCTAGCTCCATTCTCAGCGTTGCGTTTGGCGGCCCTGTCTTGGGGTTCTGATGCCGCAACATGATATGATTCGCCAACCCCTCTCCCGTCAGCGCGTCAAATACGGCACGGCTACTCTAGGCAGGTTTGACAGAGCCACGGCCTCAGCCAATCGCTTCCATACTATCGCTAGAAGATCTCTCAGCTTGGCTCGTCGAACGATGCGTTCGTCCGCCGAGCGACCGGGACACGTTCGCCTCCTCCTACGACGGAGTTCGTGCCTTGACCAGTTCCATCCTCATTCATCTGCAGCCTTTTTGAGATGTTTCGTTTTGGTAACGGTCCCCGAAAGATCAAGACGGTGTCGTGGGGGTGCGGCAGCCAAGAACAATCAAGAGCATAATGATGCCATCACGTAGTGCGCGGGACATCAACGATAAGACCGAGCGAGACCGCGCCTGCACGGACACAGAGTAGATTTTTGGCCCATCTCACCCGCGGACCTGGCTGAACGCCATTGCTCCCGTCGCCGAGCCATTCCCGACTTGAGCTTCGCGCTTCTCCCAAAAGCCTATGAGGCTTTACTTCCTCGAGCTATGCGCTATGCGCTATGAGCTTGGAGCTTGGAGCTTGGAGCTTGGAGCTTAGATTGTTTGCTTGTTGACAACCACAACGGGCAGACGCGTGTGAGACGTGTCAGTGACAATATGATGGCACCATTTCATACGACAACACGCCATGTGAACTGGTCTCGACGATAGCGAACACATCCAGAAGAAGACGTTCAGCTCGGGTCAGGTAGTGGTTAGCACCTTAGGCGGGCTGTTATCACGCCAGCTGGCAGTGGCTGACCGGCATATCCCTCCCACGGCAGATGAGAGATGCAAATTGAACGAATGGGTGGTAGAGGGACAAAACCGACCCTTCTCTCCGCGTTGAGGCCGAGGGAACCCATGATGCGGAAAACACGCAGGAGGGCCTACTACATGCCACACTGCAAGCCATCACGAGCTGATGGGCCTTTCTTCTTTTCTTTCATGCTTTCCTCATGTCGACCGCGGCACCCAATTGATGCCCTCGCGTGTTACCAGAGCCGGGACAATGGGCCCGGCGCATGGACCGGACCCCAAAACAAGATTCAGAGGTACATGATCCCCCGGCCCCTCTTCCATCCAGCCTTGTGCTTGGGCTTGGACCTGATTGTGGCTGCGCTTCTACTGCTCCGGCTCGAATCTCGCTCTGGCTGGTCGGGTTTACGACGCGATGCAGCGGCCGCCTTCATTTCCGGGCACGCGTTTTCAATGTCGCCGTTGTAGTGGTGGTATTGGTGGTGCCGATGGCACTCCTACTCCCCCTGTGCACGATGATCTGTCACTTGGGCGAATGGGACTATTCTCCGATCTGGACGACATGTCACCTATGGCTGATGGGCTGGCTGGACGCCATCTCGAAAGGGGTTGGGTTGGCGCTCAACCCCCCCTGATGCGGATCATTGAACGAGTGAATACTGACTCTTTCGGCATCAAGAATTCAAGGTACCATATCCATATTCGTGATCGCCCTCCTTCTTCATCCAAAGGGCAGGGGCAGAGAAAGGCATGCATGTGTTCGGAGGGGAGGGCGGTGATCGGGTTATGCCAAGGGGGCACAATATCTCCCCAGCCCCCCCTTTCACCAAACCCAGGAGACAAGGCAGTCAATCAGTCAATCAATCAACGACTCCCTCGGCCGTTTCGACGAAATCAATTGACCACACCCTCTCTACTAACCTCCCCACGCAAACCTTGGATCGCTAGCGTCTCCCCCTACCCTACTCCTCGCGAACACGTACGCAGCCCATTTTCGATCTCGATCCTACGATGGGACAAGATCCTCCTTCGTCCTTCCATTCGCCCATGGACCACTTAATCCGCATACCAGTAGGAGGGGGGAAACTGAAAGGGCGCGCGCGCAGAGAGCGAGTGCAGCACAAAAACCGGTTTCGACCTACCACCACCGGCATCTAGCGCCCGGCCGTTGCATTCTTCGAGACATTTGCCCATTTGCTGGCCGACCAGGTTTCCGCTGCTGGGAACTATTTGCAATGCGCATTTCGCCATGTTCCATTTTGCCCATGGCGATCGGTTACATCGACGAATCCCATTTCATTTTTTAACTTTCTTCCAATCCTCTTCTTGGCTCGGCCTTCTTTTCCCACCCTCCAAGCTCGGCCGGCCCCTTGTTCCTGTGCTAGTGAATGTACCAACTTTGCGATGCGACGGGAAGAACCCGGTCTGGACAGCGCCTGGCACGCATATCGTGGGAGGGGGTTGAGCTGGGCGGTTCCTGGGAAGTAGTGTCCGCCGCCTCGCAGGAAACATGCGAGAAAAGCGAGCAGATGTGGGTGTGAACGGGATGGGATGGGCCACTCCCGCCGAACGGGTATGTGTCCTAGCCATGTCAGACTGCTGCAGGACGACTGGCCAAGTCCTCTCTCGTTGTTTTCGGTGTTGCACCTTTGAGATCGCCTGGCCTATCAGATTGCTCCCGTGAGATCTTGGGCCCCTTTCTGCGGTCTACGGTCTGCGGTCTCACGCCGGGGGGAGGGGTTCAGGTCCTGTAGGAAGGAGGTGTAGCGACGACGACGACGCATGACTTTGAACGTCTTGTTGTTTGTTGTCGTGTCCGCGCTTTGTTGACCGTCTGTTTGCGATGAAGGCTGTGTTCGATGAGCGGGTGGATGGTTCATGTTTTCGGTGTGCGCGGGTTGCAGGCTGTGGCGGTTCACATGAGGCACGAGGTCTGGCCTGCGCGGCCAGGTCATTAGACATTGGCCCGCTGGGTAGATGGAGTGAGGGTTTGGCCATGTCGGTTGTCTTGCAGCAAGGCTCGTGAAGATGTTGCTGCTGCTGTCGGTTGGAAGACCTCCGTTGTGACATGGGCCGCCAGGCGACGAGTTGCTGGTGAGCGTCCTCTGGTGCACTCTGGACGTACATGGTTGACTTGGGATGGTATGACTTGCGACCGTGGGCAACGGATTTAAACTAATGCCTGTCAATCTAAAGATGGCGTATGTGCGTGTTGATGTGCAACCAGTGGCCCTCGGAGAAGGTATCAATTTGAGCGAAGAATAATCATCGAGTTCGCTATCTTGATTTAACGGGGTAGCCTGCATCGGAGTACAAAAGAAGGATTGAGTCTTAATCCCAACGGATATGAAAGTCATAAGCAGCGGTTCTTCGGGGTATAGCTTGTCTTGTCATGATCTTACGGCAACACAGCCGAGAGAACGATATAGAGCAGCCCGTGAAACTTGGGTCAACCCATGGGCTTAAGTAGGCACTCTCCAACCATGAAACAATATCGCATGACTCTTTTCTCGGGCATCGAACAGTAGAGAGCGCGTTGGACGACTTCTCGACAAATCACAGCATGCCGTGGTCTCGATACGCCTGACGAGGCCACCTTAGCGAGTGGCATAACGAAGCCCGTACCTAGGATTCGGGATCCCAATATAGCCACCGAGGGCACTGAACTACCCCGAGAGTATCCCAAAAAAATACCCTTCCCGGACAGAAGCCGGATAAACCAGAGGCAGGGAGCGTGGGCTGTGAGGTTGCGAAGCCAGCCTCGCTGAGACGGGGACCAGTTATCCATGCACGTGTAGCTCTCGTGTGACCCAAATATCAATCGGCGACATCTTTCGAGTCTATAGCTGTTGTCGGGAAAGGCGTGAGATACAGTTCAGTATCTTTGGCCGTGGACAGACGTTGAATATCACCTGATAAGGAAAGAAGACTGGATCATCAAGCCAGGCGTGGATATGATCTGATGAGCCCTCATGTATAATTGAAACGGATCCATGTCAAATTCAAGGGGCGAAACAGGGGACGACATGGCAACCTTGCCAAGCACAATACCGCAGGTGAATCCCATGCTTGGTTGATGTCTTATACTGCTACACTGTATGCTGCTGATCAATAGCAGCAATAATAAGAGCCCGAACGCCAACTCCTGGTGTCAAAGATACCCACATTCTCTGGTGGGCATGCCGACTCCTGTAAGCCTATGCCCTTTTGCTCCTTATACAATTTGAATCCAAGTGCCCTGAGGACTGTTACTGCCCAAAATTTTCAAGAACCGCTACACTCCATAAAACGAACCGTAACCATGCTCGCACAGGAAATGCCACCGAATGCCTACCGACTCGATCAGATACGTCATCCACCTGCCAGGCTGTGACTGGCGTGTATATTTGCCAAATCGTGACGGAAGAAGCCCCCTATCGAGCGCTGCCTGCCTACAAGGCAGCACCAGGAAACGGAATAATCTCCTCGTCGTTCGAAGCTGGTTCGTTGTACGTCTGCAGCAGTCGGGGATCGACACTATACTGCGTTTCTTGTGGATTGCCCGTGGGCGGCACCAAGAGTTGGTCCCATATCGAGCCCATCTGGGGCCCGCTATTCGCATAGGGTTCGCTGGGCATGGGGGCTTGCAAAAGCTGCTCGTCTGACGTGAAGTAGTCTTGAGATTCTGCAACGTACTCGCCACCTGCCGGTGAGACGGTAGAACCGGTGCCGAAGTCGTTGACCAAGGTCATCGGGGTCGAAGCATTGCTTTGTGGTTCATTCTGTGCAGGCAAGGACACGCGATCCATGGACCTGAGGAATAAATCCATGGGCGACGGGGGCTCATTCGGGTTCATGCCGGTTCCCCAAGATCTGTCGTAGTGCTGCACGGCGTGGCATCCTGGAGCTTCCATCATGTTCTGCCTGCAGGCACGCAACTCCACCCTGCTCAACCTGTACTCTCCACAGGCGCTGTAGTCCTGGCCGGGCCTGTTTCTTCGGTTGTTGGGTGGCATCATGGACCAGCGAAAGCCCTGGCTCGCGGCCCCCACCAGCTCTCCCGGCCACCAAAGATGTTCTGTCGCGGTCAAGTCGTCGTCCGCGCCGAAGAGGCAAAGCTGCGAGAAACGATCGACCAAAGTGACTTCGTCATGTCCGTGAACACGCAGATACTTGATGATGTGCGGCTCGAGACTCCAGGGAACCGGCCCAGAGCTTGCAAGTCCCGTGCAGAAATACTTGAAATTCTGATAATCATCTTCCGCCATGAGAATGACGACTTTTGGGCAACTTGCCCAAGCAGCATGACTGTGCAAGACAGTTCCGGGGTTTTGTGGCAAGTTGATCCAGTGAAAGTAGCCAGGGTACTGGAGGCTCATGGGGCCAGACCCACGAAACCTCGCGGCAGCGGACGGCGTGGGGAAAGCCAGAACGACGAGTACGCGATTTGAAGAGGTGCTTGAATTCAATGGAGGTCGAGGAGGCAGGGCGAACATGCTGTTGTTGGTGGGAATTGGCTGAGTGTTAATGACTGGCCCCTGAATCGGGCCCATTGGAGTGGTATATTGCTGGGACTGAAAATAGCCTTGAAGGTTAGTCATCGCAGGAGGCTGCTGCTGGCCTGAACCGCCTTGAGGCATCTGACCCGGCAGGGATGGATTATTCATGCTGATCAAGAGCTGCCAAGGGCTTGTGACTGAGGAAGCGGTATGGGTCTGAGTCGATGCTCAAGTAAAGTGTGCTGGTGGCAGCGTTTGTGATGGGGTAACTGTAGACGAAGCTCACAAGCAATTGAACATGCTCCGTATGGAGGTCCGTCATGTCGAATCCCGGGGGAGCATCTTATATACCTAGGCATGCTGGCAGGAAGATGACCTTTCTCCGACAGGGACGTCTCCTGCCTCGCGTTTCCGCTCCTAGAGAACTTTGTTTGGGCATCGTGCTTCCAAGTCACGGGATATAGGCAAGATTGGAACCTTTTGCGATATGAATTCGATCCACAGAAGCTGCGATGCGGGTGGGCTACGGAAAGCATGTCAGCTCTGTGGGAAACCGTGGGAAACCTTGGGCCATCGGGGTTGATCGTCACTCGCTCGACCGGCTGGACATAACTCCGAAAGCCTGCCCACGCACAGCCCGTGGCAGGAACCACTAGGCATTCGTGGGACATTTGTCAAGAGGTGCTTGCCAGCTTTTGATGTGGCAGGATGTTCCCACAAAACGAGGGCTGCAAAGCAGCGAATTTCGCTCTTCTCCTGTCGCTCGCACACGACGGCAGGCAGCTCTATCAGCCGATGTGCTGCCGAGCTGTTAGACCAGCCAGCCGTGATATGCCCGACTGATTCTCCCAGTGACAACATGCCCACAGCAGATGCCATCGCTGCACACCCTGACACAGGTCTCGCACTTGACACGACAAGGATGAGGCGGAAAAGATGGCTTTTGCATTCAGGCCGCGCCTGCCCGTTCACGCCCTCTTCCTCTGCTTCCTATCATCCATGAAGCGCGTCCCCGATCCTCCCGCGAAACGCTTCGCGTCCCAGCCGCCATCCGAGTCGGGGCTCGAGTCCCGATCGTGGCCACCCATGAGCTCCATGTTCTCGCCGTCAAAGGCATTCTCGCCCCTGTTCCTGCCGCGACCGCCGGACCCAGACGCCTTGCCGCTGCCGCTGCCGCCGTGCATCTTGGCCAGCAGCTTGGCGGCGCGCGACTTGCGCTTTTCGAACCCGGAGCGGCTCGACACGTTGCCGAGGCCGACGCGGCGGCTCTGCCTGTTGTACCAGAACAGACCACCGAGGATGAAGAGGAGGCCGGCGCCAACGATGGGCAGCGCAATGTACAGCTCCTTGTCGCCCGGGGGCCGGGTGTCGCGGTGCGGGGGGCCTGTCCTGGCGGCGCACGAAGACGGTCTGGCCGACGACGTCGGGGGCCGACGTACTCGTCGTCAATGTGGCGCTGGATGCGCAGCTGGATCGTGGCGTTCTGCTCGCCGCGGGGGATGGTGTTGCCGCCGACGTGCCAGGGGTAGAAGCCGTGCTTGGCGGGCTTGACGTGCTTCTTGTTGGGGTTGAAGATGGGGTCCTCGGTCTCGTCGATCTCGCCCGTCGTGCTGTTGACGTAGTAGCCGACGAGGTGGATCCAGACCTTTTCGCTCGTGTTGCTCTTGAGGACGGGCGCCGTGGCATCCCAGGTGACTGGTGCCGTTAGCAAGGGAGCCCATGGATGAAGGCGACGCTGGGGGAGGGGAGGGGAGACAGGGCACATACCATAGTAGGTCTTGCCGACGAAGAGCTCGCCGTCCTTCTCTGGGGCACAGAAAGGCGCGTGCTCCATGTCGATGTTGTGACACGGGACGAAAGCACCCTTTCCGTTCTTAGCTTTGGCCGTGGCGATGGGCGGATCGCCCGTGCTGACGCTGACCAAGGCATCGCGGCGGTTTGTGAAGGTGAAGACGGTGCCGGTCAGGGCGTTGGGCGCGCCAGACTCATAGGTCGGGGTGCCGGAGACGGTGGTGAGAACGGGGGTGATGGTCGTGGGAGTGCCCTTCTTGTTGACCGAGACCCAAGGCGCGTCGGGCGCCAGAGGTTTGGCACGAGGGACAATGTTTGCTGCCGGCGAGCTGGGCGCCGCCACGGGTGCTGGTGTAGGGTCGGCAAAGGCAGCCGCAAAGGGCGCGAGAAGCGGGACGAGAATGGATGATGAGCGCATGGTGACCGAAGGGGTTGTCGGCTCGTGGGTTGCGTTTGGAGCTCCTGATGGAGGAGGGTTCTTGCGAGGTGAGGTCCAATTGAGAATTCGACGGGCTGTCCGAGGTGGCGGAGATAGGGTTGGGGTCGCGTTCTAAATGTGGGACATGTCTAGAGACGATGGTGAAATGTCAAGAACAGAAGGAGACAGAAGGAGACAGAAGGGTTTTCGAGAACGACTCGGGTGTGTGGTCAAGGTGAGGGAAAAAATTGGAGGAAGCTCGGATCGGAAGAGACGGCGAGGAGCGTCCAGAATATTTTAGGACATGGAGACATGGAGATGCCGATGACCGACGAATTCCAGTAGTCTGCCAATCTGCATTGGCTTTGCCGTGTGCGTGACGTGCCTTGGGTGCCCTCTGCGCGCCGCCCGAGACCCGCCGCATTCGCTGTACGACAGGGGTCGACCCTGCCTCTAATCAACAAGTGAAGCAATGATGTTACCATCCATCGATCCCATCACGACCATGCGGCTGGCTAGATTAGTTCTCCGGCTGAGAGTGTATCTGAAAAATTGTTCATGGCAACGCCCTTACACCTACCACTTGAGAAAGCCCTATACCACCGCATACGCCGACACGTAGCTCACGCTCATGTCGTCCGCATCCTCCACCAAATTACTCCTCTCGTACCGAACAAACTGGAACCTCCCCTTGTCCTCCCCACCACGACCCTCCTCCTCGGCGAGCAGCTCGAGTGCCGCCATCATGACGCCGATCGGATGCCGTCCGCAGACCGTGTTTTTGGTCAAGGACAGGTTGTCGTAAAACCGAGCATACTCACCCGTCTTGATGGCCGCGATGGCCTGGTCGTCGAGCTCCTTGATCGTCTCGTGAATCGGGCGGCCCGCGGGCACGCGCGACCGCGACGAAATGTGTGACAAGCTGCCGTCGACCTTGGCGTGCGGGCTGTAGGGCGTGTAGCTGAAGTTGTCGCCCCAGTGGCAAAAGTCCGAGCTCACGACAAAGGCGTTGGCCGGGTCCCGCAGGTACGGCAGCAGCCAGGCGCCGACGGCGCGCTCGGCCGTCTTGGTGCCGTCGCCGACGAGGATGGGCACCAGCGTCGGGAAGGCGTCGGGCGAGCCGAACGTTTTGGCGAACATGGTCCACAGGTAGGGCAGGTGCATCTCGAGCGAGTGCTCCTTGTTGTCGTTGGCCGGCGGCATGTCGGGGAGGGAGAGGGCGGTGCGGAGCGTGCTGGTGACCTCCTCGTCGACCCTGATGTTGCCGAACGGCGTGCCGTAGTGCTTGAAGGTCGTGACGGCGCAGCCCTTGAGGTAAAAGGTGTGGGATGGGCCGAGGAGGAAGACGCGCTTCGTCTGGCTGAGGTCGAGACTCTTGTACGCCCAGGCTGCCGTCGGGCCCGAGTAGCTGTATCCTGCGTGCCTGCGCAGGCGTCAGTGGACAAAGGGGGCCGGACAGCGGGCTTGTTCGTGCTCACGGGGCAATGATCACGCGGGCGCCGGGGATCGGGACGTCGGACGAGTTGATTTGGCTCGGCACATCGTCCAGGAAGCCTTCGAGCTGTTCAGCCAGTTGCTTTGCGTCAGCCAGGTACCATGAGCCCGCCTTGCCGGGTTTCCGGACATCTCGAGAGGACATGATGGGCGTTGTCGATGTGCTTTGCTCCCGATTCAGGTCGTGATAGCACAAACAGAGCAGAAAGAGGTTCCAAGGTCTTCCACTCTAGCCAGGCGAGTCAACCGCTGATGTCGACCTGACGTCGAGGATGAGGGTCCAACTGCTGGAGGAGGAGGACGCTGCCCCGCATTCAAGCTTCAAGGCGTGAGGAGGGGCAGGCAGGGCAGCGCCTGAGCCACTGCAGGCTGACGGGCCATCCGAGCTCCCACGCACCCCTGCCCCTGTCGCGCTTGGCGTCGAACCACGCTGGAGCTCCCACTAGCTCGAGTCACTTTTCCATCGCGAGCTCGAAAACACCATGAAACAAGGTTCGACATTCTCCCACTGACACACATGCTACCTTGCGCGACCATTCTCGCCTGTTCTATTGTGCCCCTGTCCGGCTTGGATATACCATCCGGGCTCTGATGCTGCGCCAATGTTGCTGCAGCTGCCGAACGCTGGCGTCGCGCGGCTCTGGGACGACGCTGAGAGCTCGACAACTCTCCCAACTGCAGCCATGGTCCTCCATACCCACGACGCCATCGCGAGCGAATCGTCTCTACTCTTCGAAACAGCCAAAGCCAGCCGACAAGGAACAACTGGCGAGTCAATTCAGGGATCTCCGTGAGTGCCACCCCCAGCCGCCACGCGATACTTTTTTTTTTTTTTCGCAGCTACTGACCACTGTCCTGTCCAGTCTTCTTCCCGAAAATGTCCCCACGAGAACGATGGAAACCTGGCGAAACGGCAGTCACAATCCATGGCTTCATTGGCAAGATTCGAAAGGTATCCAAGGAACTGGCATTCGCCAACATTGAGCTCAACAACGGCGAGTTCCAGGGCCAGATCTGCGCCAAGGGAATCGAAAAGGCCGACGCCCTACGCAAAATCCAGCCCTACAGCGCCGTGACGGTGACCGGCAACATGACCGACGCATCATCACCGACCAAGTTCGACATGGAGATCGAGTCGATCGGCCACCTGAACCCTTTCCCAAAGGACATTATCGTCTCATCCGACGCCGTCTTCCCGCCCGAGGCTCGCCACCTGCAGCTGCGCTTCCACGCCAAGTTGAAGGAATCGCTGCGCTTCCGTGCCTTTCTGAAGGCATCCGTAGGCCAGACCATGAGCAGGCTGGGCTACATGGATGTGGAGACACCGACGCTCTTCAAGTCCACCTCCGAGGGCGCGCGCGAGTTTCTCGTCCCCACCCGCAGGGCGGGCCATGCCTACGCGTTGCCCCAGAGCCCTCAGCAGTACAAGCAGGTGCTCATGGCCGCGGGACTGGGTGGCTACTATCAGTTTGCGCGCTGCTACCGCGATGAGGACCACAGGGCCGACAGGCAGCCCGAGTTTACGCAGATGGATCTGGAGAAGTCGTTTGCGACTGGCGAAACGATTCAAGCTGATGTGGAAGCGTTCATGCAGACGACATGGGATGCCATGCGCGAGGAGTACAACCGCAAGGACGACGACACATCCTTTATCCCTCACAGGAAGAGTGCGCCAAGTTCGGATGAGCCATCCGGCGGAGAGCCTGTGTCCTACAAGGAGTACCCAGCCATTTCAACACCGTTCCGGAGGATGAAGTACCAGGAGTGCATGGATTTGTACGGTTCGGACAAGCCTGACCTGCGCATCCCGAACCGCATCGAACGGGTCGACGCCCACCTGAGCCCCAACTTTGTCAGCATGATCACCGATCTCGAGAGGCCCATCGTTGATGCTTGGGTGTTCCGGCCACATGAGGATGCGGACCGAAAGGAGGTCCATGAGTTTATGCAAATTTTTCTGCAGAACCTTCACAAGAGCCACTCTCTGAACCCGGATGGCGCGCCCCAAGCCCTGATGTACGACACAAGCAAGCCCCTCGAGGGCTTCTCCGCCCTGGGTCCCGACGGCCTCAAGACCCTGCAAGATGCTGCCTCGCCCGAGTCTGGACTGTCAACACTTGAGAACGGTGACGTTGTCGTCTTCCAGGCGCGTCAGGACCGTCCTCACCAGGGCGGCTCGACCAAGCTCGGCGAGGTCCGCATCGCGCTGTACCACGCCGCCATCGAGGCTCAGCTCCTCGAGCGCGACGACAGCTTCCAGTTCCTCTGGGTGACCGATTTCCCCATGTTCACGCCCAACGAGGAGGTCGACGTCGGCCAGGGCGGCTCCTCGGGCTTCTCTGCCACCCACCACCCGTTCACGGCGCCGCTCACGGCCGAGGACCTCGAGCTCCTCTTCACAGACCCGCTGAAGGCCAAGGCCGACCACTACGACCTCGTCCTCAACGGCGTCGAGCTCGGCGGCGGCAGCAGGCGTATCCACGTCGCCGCCATGCAGGAGTTCATCTTCCGCGACATTCTGCAGATGACCAAGCCCAAGATGGCCGAGTTTTCGCACCTGCTGAAGGCGCTGCGGGCGGGCTGCCCACCGCATGCGGGCTTCGCGCTGGGCTTTGACCGGTTCGCGGCGGTGCTCAGTGGTTCGAGCTCGGTCAGAGATGTGATTGCCTTTCCCAAGAACAACAAGGGCGTCGACGAGTTTGCTGGTGGACCGGGGAAGATCAGCGATGAGCAGCTGACGACATATCACCTGCAGTTGCGGAAGAAGTAGACTTGTACGATGAGTACTGTAAGATTTAGGTGTACCTTCAAATGTACGATGGATATGACTGGCATGGACCGAGCCATGGCACCACAGTGTCAATCCCCCCCAGCAGCAGCCGACTGAATCCATGTCAGTGTGCAGTATAACGCGAAAAAGAGGACAGAACAAGTTTTGTGGCTATGGTCTTTATTATAGTCGTCGTGATCAAGTATCAAGTCGCTCCTAGTAAAACAGTCCCGGTGGTATCCCCCCCGTGATCATTCCATTCATTCCTCCACACCCCGCAGGTGTGTGCATTTCGCGTTGGCACGTTCAAGAGCGCTTCCACTGACCGGCATCCTCAGTGCCCTTGCCGAGCGAGTTGGCGGCGTTCTCAACGCCGGTGCCGATGTTGCCGAGGCCGTCGCCGATGGGGCGGCCGGCCTCGCCAGTAGCGCCGGTGATGGTGTCGCCGACACCGCGGGTCGCAGCGCCGGTGACGTTACCGACGGTGCGGGAGAGACCGCCGACAGTGTTGCCGAGGGCGGAGGTGAGGAACTGGGCTCCGCCGGTGACGCCGTTGTTGTTGCCGGAAGACATGTTGACGGTTTTAGTGGTTGGTAGTGGTTTAAGTTTGAAGAGTGGGTTTTGTAGAGTGTGTGTAATCTTGTTTGATGGGTGGCTTGTTGATAATGAGCTCGAGAGGAAAGAGCAACGTCGAGCGGCTTGAGGCTTCGTTCTTATAATCCTCTGGCCCTCAGGCAACAGGCATCTCTCTCTCTTTCTCTCTTCTGACGAATTTCAAACGCATGGCCAAGCAACGACACCACACAATATCCCCCCCCTCGGACAAGGCGTGACGTCAGGCCCACTTCAGGGTCTCGAGAGCTGCGGAAGAGTGGGTGTGGCTGATCATCCTGCGATCGTGCCTATCACAGCCACACCCACCCTGGGGGCTTGACATCACAGCGATGAGAAAAATAATTAACAAGAACAACTCCTCAGCAAAAAACCGGGCTCCGCCCCAGGTTGGCCCAGCTGGGCAGGGGGTTGCGCGCGATGGCCTGCATGTGATGCTCCTGGTGTTCGAGCCCCCCTCCTCGACTGCGTGTTGCGTGCGATGATGCAACCTGGGGGCGAAAAATGGCGGCGCAAGGGTCCCTCTCCCTGGAGAACCGCGCAACGGGAACGGGATGGAGGGCTGCGATGGTGAACCCTGGGGATGGCGGATGGAAGCGAGCCAAGGGCAAATAGGCAGTTGCACCGAAGGGAGGCGGGCGGCCTGGTTCGTCTTGGGATGCTCTGGATCGATGGATGTGACGATGCGTTGGGTGATCGAGTGGCTGTGGCTGTGAACCTGGTTCTCCGTGCCACAGCTCTCACATGGCCTGCACGAGATGGTCAGTGGCGCCTCATCGAGATCGTCGAGGCGTGGAAGAGTAATCAAAGCATGCTGAGGTTTCCAGGTTTATGCGATCATATTGAGTGTTTGCAAAGTTTCGAGCGGGTGATGCGATGAGCAGTTAGCATTTGCGGTGGGTATAATCACTAACAGCGGGAGGCAAAACATCGAGTTCCGATTAGTCTAGTGGTTAGGATATCGGCTTGTCACGCCGGGGACCGGGGTTCAATTCCCCGATCGGAAGTTCTCTTTTGCTCTCGAGCTACAAAACATTGTAGAGGCAATTTTTTTAACTGACGCGCTTGTTGCACTCTTGATTCGTTTGCAGCTTTATGAACTTGGTTTCTGGATCTGGGCGGCGGGCGCAGGCTTGACATATCAAAAACGGACAAATACGTGTACCAGTGGACATGGAGCAAATGTGATGACCTGCAACCAGGAGCAACGAAATGGTACGTTTGACATCCTGTCTTCAGACACGTTGGGATCATCGCTTGCTCAAAAGCTTAATTGTGCTCCCCTGCCGCTTCCTCGCCACAATGTCTTTATTCGCCAGCTTACCAAGGTCTCGAACACCACATGTGGCCAGGGTCTCACAGGAGACGGCCCGTCCTTGCAGTCATCCTTGCTGGGCAACGTCAGAAATGTCCATCGTTGAGCACATGATCTTCGTGTCCATGGTGTCAGATTTGAAAACGGCCGCCACCGTAAAAGCAATCTCCGTCATGATGCCTCATCTCACGAAGTAGGCCTCCAGCACGCTAGAGCTATTGCTCTTCTCACTACCTGAAGAGCTGTAGCCAGAGACACGGGATCTCCTGTCTGGTATGCTTTGATGCTGGTACAACCGAAGGTTGGGTTCAGGACGGCGGCCCAAGTGTCTACAAGGTCCTGTTCGTCCGAATCAAGGCACCAACTATGCGAGACCATTCATCTCTCGGCCCATTTTGTGTGGCGGTCAAGGAGGACATGCTGTGGCAGATTGGTGTGCCACAGTTGCCGTCTTCGTCGGAGCCGGGAGACCACTCACGCGGGAACCGCTCACAACGGCACGCAACGTGATAAGCAAGGTCAAGGCACCGTTCAACGCGAAGCTCCCCAGCATCCTGGCACTTGCTGGCATCGTGAAGCTCGTGATGACCTGGGACAAGCCGTCACCAGGGCTGTAGGCTCGAATCTTGATGGCCCGTCTTCCTTGCCACTAGCCAGAGGAATACCGACGTACTGTAGCGTCGGAAGCACGCCCGTGTTGGAGTAGTGATGTGGACTCTCATTGGGGTGAATTGGACTGTAGCTGCGGGTGTCACGCCGGCTGCACGGTGGCCTTTGGTCATCGGATCGTCGAGGTCATTCCAGGTTTGTGGACTCGGTTAGCAAGGTTTTGACAGGTTGCAGTCAGGGACTCGTCCGACGAGATGACGTTACACCATGGGCGAGTCTGTCGATCAGATGGGTGCAGATGCTGCCAAGCTGGATGCCTCTCGTGGATGCCGAAAGAAGGCGGCCGAACACATGCGAAGGTCCATCAACATAGGTACCTAGGCAGGCAGAGCATGTTTTGAATCTGCCTTTGGTCACGGTGAAGTAGGGGGAAGTAGGGGAACAAGATGGAAATGTAAGGAGCTCCCATAAGGACCACGGAAAGCTCGCGAGAAGCTTGCTGCCGTTTCCTACCGAACCCGGGTCTGAGTGCCAGCACTCTTCCACAGCTGACAAACCTCAACAAGGCAAAGTTGCCTTCTGATCAGCACCGACACAGATGGAAGATCAGGAGGATCTGTGCATGTGAAGGCGAATCCATGGCTTATCTTCACAGTGGGTTTTCGCCACAACCAGTGGTCAGCCCTACCCCAGAAGCAGTAGCCAGAGGTCGAAGAATCTAGACATACAACACTGGGTATTCGAGTGGTCACCCAACAAGCTACTAATCTGGTCTTATTGCCAGGAGGACAGAAAATCACGAGGTTTCCATTTGTGCATTCGTGTGTGCTGGTGATGCGGTCAGTGAGTGTACAAGCATGCTATCTCCGCCGGTTCAGGGGCTAGGGGCGGGACAACGGCCGCTTTCCTCACATGCCCGAGCCTCTTTCCTTCCTCTACATATCTGCTCGCGTGGCAAGTGATCGAGATGCGCTAACATGCCGTCGAGGAAACAACGAAAAATAAGCGAGCAGTGTCATCAAGAGAACGATTGGAAAACTGTCGAACTGCCACGTTACTGCAACTGCTGCCCTCTCGCAGATTACGACGCAGTCAGTCCAACGTCTCTCGCACAAAAAGGAGGTCACCCCACGGACGAAGAAATCGCTTGTCCACAGGTAGGAAAGAACCGATGCCGTCTTGATAGGTCGAGTCATAAATCGTGCAAGCCAGCTCGTGAAGACTGATGGCAGCCACACTGAGCACTACTCATTGAGCAATACTCATTGAGCAATACTCATTGAGCAATACTTTCTTGAATTCTTCTGCATCCTCATCTTGGTCTTGTCTATCATGTGCCGCTCTAGCAGCTCTATACGCCCGACCCGTCAAAGATGCGAGCCCAGTCACCGGGCGTGGTTGACGACGTCCTTGAGGTTGGGGTCCTCCATCTCGGAGATGTACTTTTCGGCATCGAGCGCGGCCTGGCATCCGGAGCCTGTGGCGTGTCAGCATGGTCTGGACATGTCGCAGAGGAAGGAAGACGAAGACGAAGACGAAGAAGAGGAAGAGAACGTACCGGCGCTGGTGATGGCCTGCCTGTAGCGCTTGTCCTGGACGTCGCCAGCGGCAAAGACGCCCTCAATGTTGGTGAGCGGGGTGCCGGGCTGGGTGATGACGTAGCCCTCGTCGTCCGTGTCGAGCTGGCCCTGGACGAGGCTCGTGGCGGGGACGTGGCCGATGGCGTAGAAGAGGCCGTTGGCCTCGACCGTCTCCTCGGCGCCGGTGCGGGTGTCGCGGACGACGAGGTGGGACATGAGGCCCTTGTCGTCGCCCTTGACCTCCTGGGCGCCGCTGTGGAAGCGGACGGTGACCTTGGGGTGGCCGAGCAGGCGCTTGGCCATGATGGCGCTGGCGCGCAGGACGTCGCGGCGCACGAGGACGGTGACGTGGCTGGCGTACTTGGTCAGGAAGAGGGCCTCCTCGGCGGCCGAGTCGCCGCCGCCGACGACGACGAGGGGCTTGTTGCGGTAGATGGGCACGGCGCCGTCGCAGACGGCGCAGGCCGAGATGCCGTTCTGCCAGTACTTGTCCTCGCCGGGGATGCCGAGGCGGCGGGCCGAGGCGCCGGTCGCCAGGATGATGGCGTCGGCCGTGTGCGTCGTGTCGGGCGACCACTCGAGGGAGTAGCGGAAGGGCCGCTGCGAGAGGTCGAGGGTGGCGACCGTCTCGGAGACGATCTCGGTGCCGAAGCGCACCGACTGGGCGCGCATCTTGTCCATGAGCTCCTGGCCCATGATGCCGTCGGGGAAGCCGGGGAAGTTCTCGACGTCGGTCGTCGTTGTGAGCTGGCCGCCGGCGGCGATGCCGTTGGCGAGGAAGCCCTCGTAGAGCACGGCTGCAGGGATTTTCGAGTCAGTACGTGGCGACTGGTGCAAGGAGAGCAACGAGGAGAGCTAGCACAAAGGAACTCACGCTTCATGTCGGCACGTGCGAGATAGACGGCGGCGGTGTGGGCCGCAGGGCCTGAGCCGATGACTTTTGTTTCTGTCAGTACAAGATGGCGCAAGAGGGCCTCGTAATGCCCCTCCTCCTCCCTCTCGTCTTTATGCTCTAGCAGAAGCACACACACACACACACACAGAGAGAGAGAGAGAGGCGACCGAGAGGGACAGACAGCCACATACTGACAATCTTGCTATGCATGGTTCTGGCAGCGATGCTCGGCTTGGCGGTGTTCTTCTGAAGGGTCGTGGCGGTGGCCGCGAAGGAAAGTCCACCCGCGCTGGCTCGCAGGGTCCGTCGAAAGGCGGATGAAAACAGTTTCGCGGTGCGCGTTCGTCGTCCACGCCGTTACGAGGTCGCGTGGATGGGATCGAAGGGTGGTGGGAGGAAAGAAAGAAGGGAAGAAAAAGCTCGAGCGCGCGAAATGCTGTCAGACACGGATTGGGCGGGATCGAGGAATCGAAGGGTCTAGGAAGCCAAGGGTCTGGGAAGCCAAGGTGTAATTATACTACCTGAAAATAAAGCGACTGACTGATGGAAGAGGGGGTTTTTCCCTTCGAAGGAAGTACCTTCGAAGGGGTACCTTTGAAGAAGGTACCTTCGGTACCTTGAGAATGGCCCCGCGATCGGGCGCTCGGCGCTCGGCATGTCCCTCTGGTCTTCTGCGCCTATCGACCGTGATCCATCGCCTCTCGCTCTCGTGCATCGCCATAGGTCCCTTGAATTCCAGATTCGAGGTGGGGGCTGAATAATCAGCAGCTTACTCATCTCATCTCATTTCTTGTTTCTGCCTCTCATCAGGTGCTCGGCCGAGCCTCGGTTGACGGTTGACTTTCAATCCCTGGCGGGGGCTGGAAGGGCGGTCCCGCCAGTCTAGAAGCTCTAGAAGCTCTAGAAGCTCTAGAAGCTCTAGAAGCTCTAGAAGCTCTAGAAGCAAAGGGAACACCAACCATTTATTAGTGGTAAACCTCCAAACATGTCATGAATGATGCACGAACGGCCATTGTGTCCAAGCTCCCATGCCCCAGCCCATGAAGGGCGGCTGCTACCAAATGCTAACCTGACTCCTGATGCCGCCCTCGTCACCGCTGCCCCTCGTCAGCGCCATCCCTCTTCCCAAACCGCGCGCCGAACCCTCCCAGGTCTCGCCGGAAGAACTTGCCAAAGTTCTTGAGGTTCTCGTTCATCGCCTTCTCCGCCGCGACGACGCCAGACCCCCCGCCGCCCTTGTCGCCGACACCGCCGCCGCCGCCGCCGCCGCCCTGGCCCAGGTCCCGCGCCGCGCTGAGGAGCTTCTCGCCGAGGCTCGTCGCGTCAAACTTGCCCTGCAGCCCGGCCATCGCCGTGGCGCTGCTGCCCGCCGCCGACAGCGCCGAGCTCGCCGTGTTGATCGACGCCCCGGCCACGGTCCCGGCGACGGCCCCGGCACCGCCGCCGCCACCGTGACCGTGACCCTGGCCGCCGCTCAGGCCCTGGCTCGCCAGCAGCGGCGTCAGCAGCGGGCTGTTCTGCGCGAGCTTGCCGTCGTGCGCCTTGCTGTCGCGGTGGATGCCGAACAGCTCGAGGAGGTGCGCCTGGTCCTGCTTGCGCACCGCCTTGAGGTCGAGAATCTTCTTAAAGTTGACGTCCGACCGGTCGGCAATGTGGATGAGGTACGCCTGCACGAGGCCCTCGGGCGGCGACGGCCGCACCTGGAGCGTCTTGAGCAGCGGGTCGATGCGGTTCATCGTGTGCGCCACCCGCTTGACGAAGCCCGCCGGCGGCGCCTGCGCCTGCGCCTGCGCCTCGCCCGACCTGTTGTGGAACGACAGCAGCCCTTCAAACGCCTTGGTCATGACGTACTTGTCGAGGAGCATCTGCCCACGAGTTAGCTCTTGCCAGGGGAAACCTCATACCAAAAGGCTCCGACGTACCTGTTCGGCAGCCACCTCGGTCACCGGCTTGCACTGCACAATGTTGGCAATGTACGCCGACGCCAAGTGGTCCACCAAGTTGTCGCAGAAGGCCCTCGCGTACTGCTGCTTGACGACGAGCCCCAAAACCGCCTCGGCCTTGCCGTTGACGGCCCGGAGCAGCTCGCCGACGTAGGAGCTCTGGTCCCCGACGCTTTCCATGGCGCCCCAGTTCGTGTTGCGCATCTCGCGCCACGCGCCCGCGCACTCGTGCTCGACGGTGCGCACGAGCGCCAGGACGGCGGCGCTGGCGACGCCCAGAAACGCATCGGCCTGCGACGAGAGGTCGACCCTGTCCCTGAACTCGGGGTCGATGCGCTTCCTGATGTTCTCCTCGAGCTGATTCGCGTTTGTTGACCAGAAATCCGCCGTGTTCATGACCATGACAATGTCCTGCAGCGGCGGGCCCTGCGCGCCGCCCCTCGAGAGAAAGCTGAGCAGCACCTGCTGCGCGTACTCGTCGAGGTACTTGGCCAGCGTCTTGGCGAGGTCGAGGAGGCGGTCGCTCGTAGACAGCTTGGCGCACTGTGACAGCGTGAGTTTGTAAAAGTGGAACAGCTCAATGGCCGAGGGGATGACGGCCTGCGGCGTGAACTCCTCGTCCTCGGGGAGCAGCGGCTGGCTGCGGTACTTGGGGATCATGGCGGCGAGCTGCCTGTCCTGGCTCTCGACCCACAAGCTCAGGTACGGCTCAAAGGCCGCCGAGATGGAGCCGTGAAAGTGGGAGGCCCGGTCGTCGGCCGAGCTCAGCGTGTCGATGCTGGCCCGGGGCCCGTCGGCGAAGCGCCTCTCGAGCCCGTGCTCAAAGTCGAGCGTCTCCTGCAGGCAGCTCAGCAGCAGGTTGACGTCGAGCTTGGGGCCCTCGGTCCGGCGCATGCTCCGCTCGAGG